TTCTTGAGCAATAAATTGTTTTTATCTGCCTCTTTCAATAAAATATGTTTTTAAAATATCTTTTCATTTTGCTATTGAGTAAATATTTGAAAAGACTGTAATAAAGTGAAAAAATAGCGTTTATTGCCATACACTCCGACATCAAGTTGGAATATTTCTAAATGACTACTTTCAAGAAGTTGGAATATTTCTGAATGAGAAGTGAATGAGAAGATTCATGGTCCAGGATCAAGGGGATATCCTTAATTATTGACGATAGACCTATATGACATCTAAAACGATTGGATCTCGCTCTCTTGGTTGCAAGACAAATCAACAAATTAACAAATAAAATGTAGAAATAACTTGCTGTATAATGTTTTACTCAAATGTAAAATTTAGCAAAAGTTGTTACGCAAACAAAAATAAAGAAAACATCAGCTTTGTGAATGCGTTGCAGGCCCGCCGGGGACAGGGACATGGGGGTCAGATTGCCCCAGCCCCCAACTGAGAGGAATTCCAAAAGGTTTTACACAATTTTGCAAAAATGACGTCATCGAGGGTCTTATCTTTATTTTGCCCCAAAAAATGCTCTCGGCAAGGTGTTTTTGACAAAAAAACCATTTGAAAACTTAAAAATTCGTCTCACACTCTTCAGTGTATAAAACGTCAGACAAAAAATTTTAGACGAAAAGCTTTAGCATACTCAAATGTCTGCTTTTCTCAAAATCATTTTTAATTTTTGTACCACAAAATGATTGTTTAAAAAATTCAATAATTCCTAATTCATTCAAATCTACCAAAATTACAAATAACAATATGATCTTGACAATATGAAGAAATATCCACAAATTTACTTTCTAGGATATGAATTTTCTAACCTAGCTTTTGATTAATTGGTGAAGAGCATTTTCTAAGGTTTTTGGCTCCGACTTTTCATCTCAAGTCCCTCCTTATAGATATGTGGTATACGACGCTCCTCCCTAACACCACATTAATGAAGTTAATGCTCTTTCAAAATATCTTCCATATATTCACCTGCGTTTGAATTATTCTGAACACCAGGACTTACTATCTAAACTCAAGCAAGTGTATTTTTCAATGCTAAGTACCTTAATGAATAATTGATTTATCTCTTTAAGTAATCTATTGGATGGCATTTCCGTCATTGGAATTGTCGACCCATTCAATGATATATGTTGTGTTTTGGATTAGCTGATACAAGAAGAGATGACACTCAAAATATAATGATGGTGCAGAATCTTCTTCTGATTTTCAGCGCAATGATGGATGAGGCCTGATATTTCCGAACAAAAGGTATGAAATTTTATTCGTAACAAAAGTATTTATTCTTTCCTTCTTGTACGTGACGACGCAATACAAACACATCTGCAACAGTTGCCTTTAAGATCAGCGACACATGAAACATGAGGCTGCGCATAAGTTTGATTTCCGATGAATATTTTGTTTTGAATATTCAAACCAATGACAAAATGCTTTCTTTCTTGTGTTAAGAAATGAGATTTAGAAGAGCAATCCACAAGAGCATTGTAGCCCCTCTGACTCAATTAGATGACTTCAAACAGCTGATTTTGCAAAAAGAAAGTATTGTGGCAAAAACTTGCGGCTATGAAACTATAGACAAATTAGATTACAGATTTGCACAAATCCTGAAAGCCTGTGGTCCACCAGGAAAAATTAAGAATTTGAAGGCGAAAAATATTTGATAGGATAGTTGATGATTGATTGCTGGTTTCTTGTAGAGTGCTCGTCGCGTATATAAAGATTTTTATAGTTTAATAGAACACAGAACAGGACGGTTTGAATTATTAGACCGGGTATCATTATGCTACACAAGTTACTCATCCGAGTTAATGCTCCGTATGATATGTGAAATGTAGGTGATGCAACATTTTGTAAATGATTTATGCTATTAAAGGTGAGCGCACATCTTCGAGATTATGTACGGGAATAAAAAAAGATGATAAAGCCACAGTTATGAGCTTCAGCTGTGCAAAGACGAAAAGTCAGCGTCACCTGTATTACTTTTAGTTTTAATGATAACAAAACTGTTAGTTTTACTGATAATCACCTCTTGAAGACTTTTATTATTCAGCATAACATTTTCTGATTTCAAATAGAGTAGGCCATAGGTATAGCAAATTAAGGGGATGTCACGGAGAAGCAGGAACATAGAATACCGAACTTTTCGAGCAATGCACCAAAAGGCGCCAACAGATCAAGTCATTGTCAAAGCAAAAGTTCTCTTGCAATGCTCGTGGGAAGAGTTCTTTTCATTTGAAGCAATAAATTTTGAAAATTAATGAGGAAAAGACTGAAAGAGGTACACTGTGAAACTAACTGCGAAATTATGACATTTTTCTAAATATGGAAGGACGAAGGGATCCAGCAACAGCTAGATTCTTGTACAAGAAAGCGGCCTATATTCGAAAAGATTGCACGAAGATTGCAAAGGGAAGGTTACTACAATTGCACCACAGTGAATTCATTCCCCAGATCAATTTCTCACCATAGCCGCCCCCCCCCCCCATTTTGAAAGATGCCAATGAGCTAAATTCACATTAAACGCATGCGTGGTGGCAATAACCCGTGTCAACCTAACTTTGCGTTTACACCATCCTTTGTGGTCAAGGTAGCGTAAACAAAAGTGGGTCCAACCTGGGCTCAACCCAGGTTAGAGATAACCCAAGTTGTAGTGCAAACAGGTCTTTGGGTGAATTTATATTGTCTTTATTCAAAATAAAGGACATGGGTGGAATGGGTACCCGGAACACATCATATAGCTACAATCATTGCCAAAAGTACTTTGAACACCCATAAATTTTCGTTATGTTTTTATATTTTTTCAATTCTTTTCAATTTCCGCACCCCCTTCCCCCCTAAGTAAAGTTGATAATTTAGAGAAATATCACAGAAGTGGCAGAAGAAGCATTCTTCCTAATCCCCTACGTCATTTTGTAATCAACCAGCATTGTTCAAAGGGGGGGGAGGGGAATGGTTGAATTTGCCCTTGAAAACTGACGTTAGTGTACCATGTGATTAAGAATTGTAATAATATTGAACTTTGTCATGGCTGGTTTAAGTGAATTTCTAATAAGCAGACAGAAGGACAGGGGAAATAATGGTACACATAAAACTCTTGAATGAGAGGCTTCGTGACAATCATTCGAAACAGTAACTCGAATGGTTTTTAAACTGATTTGCAATAAGACTTGAAAAGTCATATTTACAGGTTTCTTCATTCTC